TTGTTCTTGACACTATTTCTTGTTGAGCAGTTTTGGAAGAGCTGTGCTCATGCCGACAAGGAGATACAAGTTAGATGGGTAATTTGCGTCTGAGGCGTTTCTGTGATGTCAGATGTCACTCTTTTAGCCTTGGAGATCTGATGCATTCTCTATTATATTCTCTTTCTTTGTGTTTTTCTCTATTTTGATTCCTTTGGGTGAAATGAGGATTAAATTATTTTGTTGATGAACGACCTTGTGTCCATCTCATTTCAGCCAACCCTGTGTCTATGTCAGGAGGAACCACCTAAGTATCCAGCACCGGTGCCGACACAGACCCGGGCGGGGAGGAGGGCTTCCGGATTTAAGGCACACCCAAACAGTTATTTTACATTTTTCTACACCCCTCCTGATGTTTTAGGTAATTCATCCGCGGATCATATTTAAGTCAAATAAATGCTTTTTAAAATCATCCATATCTTTTAAATCGTAACTCCGATTTGAACATGTTATATATAAAATTTGATTAGAAAAATATGTAGAATATGAATATGAGATTATTTTTACCTTTTATTTATTTTTAAATATTATTTTAGAATATATTTGAGGCAAACCAAATGATTTTTTAAATTATCTGTATCTTTTAAACCGTAACTTCGATTTTAACATATTGTATATGAAATTTTATTAGAAAAATGTGTGGAATCTAAATATGATGTTAATTTTACCTGTTAAATATTTTTAAAATATTGTTATGGAAGCAAACTTATAATTTATAGCGCAAGATCTGTTTTTTTTTTCATACCGGCGGCGATGCAGATTGCAAATAAACACCCCACTATAACCATATAGGGAAAAGAAAATATCGATAACTACACATGCATACCTCTGAAAAATGTCACAGGGGAAAACAACAGATTTCCCATTGCGATAGAGAGAAAAAGAGAGAGAGACGTCTTAGGATTAACCATATTCAACACACGTTTTTTGTTGTTTAGTGTGAACACCGAGGCCATCGCAAATGTGATGCCTCGCAAAAATAAAGGAGATGGACCTATTGTGATCTTGAGTGATGGTTGTTGAGTTAAGAGGGTGTGTTATGTTTTTTCTCCCATTGCAACGCACGGGCTTTTCTGCTAGTACTACACAAAGTTTTCAGTAGTATATTGAGAAATTAGGGGCGTTTTGGGTAGTTCGCTACTAATCCATCCCACGGGCAGATTCCCTTCCAAATCAAGTGAAGGGTATAGCTGTAATTTCACGGAGTCATCATCGTTCCTTTGGCACATCATGCTCTATCGCCATTGCCAGCGGCTACCGCACCTTTGTATGTACAGTAGAGTTTGTTATCTGCAGCCGGCCATTGTCAGCCCACCCTTTGGCATCGCCCACGCCCAGCTCGTCCGGCGCCGTCTCTCCCATCCCAGAGCGCACGGACGCTGCAACGGTGCCCATTTCGTCCGTCACCACGGACCCTGATTCAAGCGCTGCCCCATGACATGTTCATCGGCCTGAGCCTCCCACGACCACACGGAGGCCACCACACGTCCCGTACCGGTGCCGACGTGTGTTGCATGCGTGCATGCAGCGTGCTTAGATTAGTGGGCGCCAGCTGATGTACGTGCGTGACGGAGAGAGGGCCAGAGGGGAAGCCATTTCAGGCCACGGAACGAAGGACGTGCAGACGGGGAGAAGGCCGCTGTGCGGGACGAGGCGGCTTCGTCGTTGCTGGGATGCATGGGAGGAAGATCTGGGAGCAGCGACCGGAGGCCGTTCAATGCAGAGCGGTCGACCCTATGCAACCGAGGAGACGGCCGCAGGGCGGCTGCGTCGAGCCGTCGAGTGAGGAATGCCAGACGAACTGAGATGGTTGTGTCGTCGAGATGGCAATGGCATCGCGTTGTTATTAATTGCATTATTATAAAATTAAAAAAGAAAAAAAATCAACACCAGTAGTTAATTACGAAATGTCCTATAGCAAAAATTTGAAGAATTCATACCGACCATTGGATCCATTATATACTACACACTGTTTCAGGTAGTATGATGTACCATAAAATCTCTCATTTAAATATAGATAGAAGATAGAAAGAAGAGCGGAGGTTTGGAGAGATACTATAAAAACATAGGGGGGGGGGGTCATTTTCCCTATTTCTCTTATTCTGCCATAATGCTTTTTGGTCATATACTATAGTAGAATCACTAGTTTCTGTCGGAGGTAATCAATGTGAAACGGAAAATCTTTCCATGCAGAACATCAAAGTCCTTATTTTAGTCATATAAAATATGAGATGCCACCCCTACTTTATCTAGTCTAGTGTATTTTATGTTTCAAAAAATATTAAGCATGTGCTGGCTGTTAATCTGATTTTGATGGATGTAGGGTTGTTTAGTTGCATCATAAGGCATTGTTGTTGAATTGAAATCTAGTGTTTTGGGCTTGCTTCTCGACATTATTTGATGCTAATCACTGTTCCAATTAATTTAGCCCTATTTTCATCTGCATATTGGTGTTTCCTGCTCACCCAACCCTTTTACAAACTATTCTTGTTTACCTTGATTCCCTTCCCCCACTATTTCTCTTGTCACCCCCAAACGTTGGTTAATCAACTCCGCTTTAATTAGCTCAAACTAGTAAGCAACATCATACATAAGTCAATACGGCAACCCTCGGTCATGGGCCAGTATCAAGGTTATCCTTTTAACAAAATAGCAAGGTATTTGAATGCATGCAGAAACCAAATGTATTTTTCTATTATAAAATGACTTATGGAAAGGAAATAACATCCCTTGCATCAATAAGTTGCAAGCGAACCCATCAACCATCGATCACCACTGGCAAGGAATTCGAATGTAGCTTTGTTTTCTAATCTATATTTTTTTATTTCTGGTTTATGTTTACTGTAAAAGATATGTTATGATCAAGCTTGTTGAATGCAATGTGATTATTCACTTCCAGCTTTTAAAATTGGACCATCTTCTCTTCTTGGGTAGTCTGCCATGTCTCCTTTGTTTGAGATGTTTGAAGGGCACTTGCACACCTGAAGATGCTATGTTCAAAGATCCCATGAGGCTGTATGCACCATGTCCGATTTATCATATTGTGGAAAGGAAAAGTTTCAGGTACCTTTGTTCTGCTGGAACTCAACTTAGGTTTTTGCGCTTGACAAAACTTATGTGATGCTACGAGAGTGATAAGTTACGGCCAAACTTTGGCCCATTCATTTGGTGTTGGTGCCATAGATACTAATGTTGTTACCCATTGCACAAAGCCGAGTCTGACATTTGTGTCGTCGAGTCTGACTAGCTCCAGTGCGGCATTGTACAAAGCCGAGTGTCTGTATGTTGGTGATTCAATAGGACCCATGTCTTTCTGGTAATGTTTAAGATGGTCTGGTAGGATGTCACGTGCATCTACTGTCCATCGTTTCATGATATGGTGTGCTGGGATCATTTTAACATCCAATACCATCATCACCTGACAATACAACGAATAACATGTCAATCAACATTAGCAATCATAGAACATTGTTACATTTTCAATACTTCATAGTTTGCAACGAAAATACCTTGATTATGTGGCAGCATATCATACTCATGTGGTCGAATAGTCCGCATTGGCATCTATACTTTTCCCCATCATCGGATATTTCTATTTCAAAATCAGTCTTACAGTACTTTCTCCTTTTCTCTGCATTCACATGAGTTCTTTGTACAATTTCTTCGGTGTTATCTTCGATACAGTGTACGAGCCAGCTGCATACATATAAGACCCAAACATTTCAAACATTGTCCTCATGTATATTTTGCTTGCGTGCTTCTCCAGTGGAGTGTTTGCCTTCGGTACAACACCTCCCTGAAAAATTTAGTTATATTGTTATTATAAAATGAATTTGGTTTGATAAATTTTATGTTCAACAGCAGAGTAATACAGAAATCAGTACTGAAACTTTTACCAGTCTAGTCCGTTTTTCTTGGAAACCTTCTTCCTGGTCTCTGTCGAATTGAAGCTTGCTATATTGTTTCACAAAAAGATTCATAGGGCAGCCTGGAGGTATGTAGTTCTTGAGCATGTGATTTGCGCTTTCGCTGCGCTGTGTGCTAGTCATTCTGGCATAGAACTTCCCTGCAAAATAAGGTTTCACCCACATATGTCGTTTTTCATAAGTCTGTATGAGGAAAGTATTCTTCTGCAGTGAATACTTTTCAATCAACTCTTTCCATTGTTTTTCAAACTCTTCTTCAGTCAACATTTCATGTATTAATTTGTGAAATTCAACCCTGAATTCACTCCGCTTGTTGTACAAAGTCCCGAGTGATTCTTTTGCTTTCTTTAAAACGTGCCACTTACACCAACGATGTGTTGCATCTGAGTAAACTTGCTCAATAGCTAGCTCCATGGCTCTTGCTTGGTCTGTGGATAATACATTAATATGGGAAACTATCAGATCCAAGCAATTTTAATTCAAAGAAATGTATTACCAAAAAACCCAGTTAAAGCTCTCTACCTTCTCATCACGCATAAGTACGCCTACATATATGACACTCTGGAAATGGTTGTTGACACAAACGAATAGTCCGAATGGCATGTTGTATAGATTTGTCCTGTAGGTAGTATCAAACATAACAGCATCACCAAAGTAGTGGTACTGTAATTTGCTCTTCCCAGTTGTCCATATCAGTGTTCTAACTCTACTCTCACTGTCTACACGAACTGTATAAGTGAATTCAGGGTTAGACTGCTTCAGCTCAGCAAAATAATCCATTGTCTTCTTAACATCCTCATCTGCCTTGTATCTGCTTAGTTTCGCGCACAAGGTCCTCGGGCATCTCTTGGTGAAAGGAACATTCTCTATGCGACCAAAAAAAGTGTCAATTATGCTGTAAACTTTGCTGAGGTTGACATTATTCTGACGCAGTTGAGATACCATCTCTCTGGTGTATTTGTCAATGTGCCGGTGTGAAGGGAAGTGCAATTTCTTTGCGCATGTGTGTAACATCTCATGGTTGTGAGAGACTCTTTACTCACATATGTACCAGCCATCATCTTCAGTTCTCAGCAATCTAATCATCGCTGGACACTCTGTTCTCGAAGAGGTAGAGTTCGCCTTCTTTGGTTTCCCCTAATGAGAAAGAAAACTAAATTCAATAACCATCAAAATGTCTGGAAAGGTGTAGATAAACAGGGATTATATAGTTTGTTTGATTACCCCGCAGTTGCAAAGCAGCTCTTGCATGCTTTTAGCACCTTTGACATTTGTACGGCTCTTACCGTACCTGATTCCAAAACCGCACTCCCATGAATACATGTTGTAGTAGTCGTAAGCCTCTCCTAGCGAATCAAATGTCAAGCCCAAAGAAGGCACAACAATTGCATCTCCTTTCTTCTAAGCGAATCCTCTAAATGCTAATTCCAGTGCACTAATCCTATCTGCACTAGCCGCTCGTTTGTCAGGCATCACGCCGTGTCTGTGACTGTAATTGAAAAAAACAACAGTCCCGTGTCAATATCATACAAATATGATTAACTGTACATACAAATTAGGAGAACACGTTAAATTCCTATGTTGAGGACATGTCCATATTATAATTAATCTTTTAAGAATTCCAACCTTCTGTACGTGTGCATCAAGCTCATAAATCGAGTTCATTGCTCTTTTCCCTTTCGACATCAATCACATTTGGAGTCCTTGATTTCGATCCAGGATCTCCGTATAGAACTGTTGAGACGTGCTGCTCTGTGCTACCATTAGAAGAATCCAGCTCGTCTGCCTCAGCTACCGTCGAGAGTGCCCGCGCCTCTTTGACGGACATCTGAGCTATCCCGGCGGCGCACTGGTCGGCTATTATTTCTTCATTCGATCTTGAAGGAGAGTAGCAAAAGCAAAATAAACACTTACTCATCTAATAAAGCAGTTATGCTTCCGAATCTGTTCAAAAACTAAAGAACTTACATGGATTCAATGCCGGTTGGTTCTTGAGCAAGCAGATCTGCTGGACTGCTCATCTTCTACCGCGAAAAAAGAACTCCAGAAAAAGACTTCTGTTAAACAGCAAACGAACAGGCATGGCGAAATTTTCAAAGCGGAAATCACTACAGCCAGCCGAGGGGAGAACTGGTTTTCAAATCTGGCTACGCAGTGCTTGCGAGCAAGCAGAACACTCCACAAGGTAGGCGATGGTTGAGTACATTAATTAGGTAGGGACAATATTACTGTACAAGGTCGGACAGGACAAGAAAGAATAAATGAGCAAGAACAGGTATAGACTGTTGATTCATACAACACGTGCGCCTTTTAACAGGCTATAATGATTTACAGCCAAATGGCACATATCCCAAGGTTGCATGCGTGCGGCAGCGATTTCGTAGGTGGTCGTGGCCGAGTGCTCCTAATCCACCTCCGTATTTATGCCCAGTTTACAAGGCAGTTACAAAAGGAGGCAGTTGTCAAAAGTGGCACCGACATAGCAATGATTAATAATTAATTAACCTAATCAATTAATTCCTAACACAAACAACGGGTTTTTACGGAGGCCTTAGTGCGAAAAAGAATTCTATGAGACCAGGTCTTACGTGAGACCCATCCTGATAGATGACACGTGACATTCACAAATCTCAAAGCATCCTCCATCCCCCACTTAAAATCAGGGGGGGAGAGATTAGATGTTTTGTGATTTATGAATGTCACGTGTCATCCATCAGGACGGGTCTCACCTGCTAATCGTAAGACCTGGTCTCATATAATTTTTTCCCCTTAATGCTAACTTCTCCGTCATCCTAAATTTTAAGAATGGTGTTAGTCCCAATCAAATGATGCCACATGTGACACTCCATGAAACCTGTAAAAATGTGTCCGTCCTTGTGTCTATCAAAGCCCACCGGTTGCAGTCTGACTTGGTATAAACTTGTAAACTAATTCCCTCTTGTACGAGCAAATACAATAAGGTGATATAAGCAGACTATAAGAATTTAAATATAGTATTTATACTTAGTTGGAGGAGAGAGAAGAGGAAAGAGAAAAGAGAAGCGGACTATCAGCTTGTAGCCGGTTGTAGCATGAGCTCCAACATAGTTTGTGAGATAAAAGATGGAGTCACATATTAATGATATAGTATACTAGTATGACTAATTATTGTATTAGTAGGCTATTAAAATGGCTCTAGATAATGTGACAACTTTATATAGCCTGATGTTGGCTATACTATTAACCATGCTTGTAGGTGAATAGTACATTTCACAGGACTAACAAAACATACAAATACAGACGTGGAGCTCATCAATGTGCAGCTTTTTTACAGGAGAAACTGTGCATATGCAGCGCAACATGCATTACAAAGTATTCTATCTCTCCCATGCAAACGACTTCTTTAATTGGCCCGTTCTACAAATCGTCCGGATGATAATACACAAACATAAGCCGCCTCGCCAGCCGTTAGATTGCCCGATGGATCGGGTGAACGCAGAAAACGCACGCAACCGCTCGCCCTCAAATCCAGCCACGCCTCCTCTGCAGCGATGGTGCTCGCCATCAATCCCACCTCACCGTGCTGACTGTGACAGCGACATCGCACCACCGGAGCCATCGGCAGAGCTCCAACGCTGCAGCACCGGAGCCACCGGCAGAGCACCAACGCAGCAACACTGGAGCCGACGAAGAACAAAGCTTTAATGCACAACACCTACGACCCCCGGGGAAGCTCCACGGCAGCACGATCGCGCGAAAAAAAAAACTCCACGCTACATTGTTGGCATCCCGACGAAGCTCCATTGCAACCGTGACGGAGCTCCATTGCAGACGACGCGCGGTGTTCCGGCGAAGCTCTGTTGCAGCCCCAGCCGCGCTCCATTGCAGCCACCGGCGGGGCTCCATTGCAGCCACCGGCGCGCTCCATTGCAGCACTGCCCGCTGCATCGTAGCTCCTCGCGGTGTTCCGGTGAAGCTCCATTGTGGCGCTGGTGAAGTTTCATCGCAATTTATGGTGCCGCCGGTGAAGCTCCATTGCAGCTGCCGGTCAAGCTTCCTTGTGGCTCCGAGCTCCGGGCCTCCGCGCGAGCGCTGCATCGCAGCATCGGGAGCCACCGGCGAGCAGTGCACTGCAGCTCCGGGGTGCTGCGATGTCTGATGTCGCGAGAGGTCGAGAGCGACGGGGTGCTGCGATGAAGCTCACGTCGGGCGACTTCTGATGCGGCTACCGAGCTACTGCGGTGGAGATGCGGCATGCGGTGCTCGCCGTCGTTCTCCTAGTGGATTGTAGCAGTGGTGGGGTGAGGTCTGGGCGTGACGAACAGAGATGGAAAGGGAAAACGAGAGGAAAGAGATGAGTGGAGGAGGAGATTGTGTGCGGGAAGAAGATAAGGCTAGACCGAGCGGTGACGGGTCCACAGGGACACGTGTCCACCACAGGACGTGGCTTGCGTTTCCTTAATTTCATTTGGTTGATAATAAACGTTATGCTCTTTAATTTGATACTAGTAAAAATTTGGATGATAGATATCTTCTGAACCATAGCTCCGTTTTCTATCTTTTATTATACTCCCTCCGTTCCTAAATATTTGTCTTTCTAGAGTTTCAAATGGACTACCACATACGGATGTATATAGACATATTTTAGAGTGTAGATTCACTCATTTAGCTCCGTATGTAGTCACTTGTTGAAATCTCTAGAAAGACAAATATTTAGAAACGGAAGGAGTATATTATAACTCATAGGGAGAAGATCTTCAGAACAAGCTCAATCAAGGATACATGTGAACTAGTTTTAATTTTTACTGTTTCACTGGTTTAAAAAAATCACTCATTCAAAAATCAATATTTTAAAATGCACATTTCACTCATTTAAAAATATATTTCAATTATTTAAAAAACACTTGATTAAGTCAATACATAAAAACTGTTTCCTTTTGAGGGTCAGAGTCATTGTCAATGAAGGAAAAAAATTAATCCGGCAAGCACCTTGAGGGTCAGAGTCTATGTGGATGTTAATAAACCTCTGGTCCGGTTTGTGCCAATAACACTCAAGGGGAGCAAAAGGTATCCGGTGTTTTATGACAAGTTGCCTGATTTTTGTTACTTTTGTGGCCTGATGGGGCACATAGTGGAGGAGTGTGGTGATGGCATACATGATCCTGGATCGTGTGAATGGGGGGAGTGTCTTCTGTGGAGTAACGAGACGTCCAGGTTTGCAGATGTTGGGAGGGGAAGCATGGAAGGAGGAGGTAGAGGTAGTAGAACAGGTGGAAGATGTACTAGGGGGAGGCAAGGAAGAGGAGGTCCAGTCGGAGGGAAAGATGGGGTAGCTGGTGGCACAAAATGGAGCTGACTCAGATTTCATACCCGATGGTCAGTACCTGCTGGAAACCAACAGAACTGCTCGTAAACGGCTTGTGTCAGTGGATAGCACTGACAACGTTGGTGGGCAAGCTTTACCAAATTTGGCGAGGAAAGTGGCTGGCACAGTTTTGTTTTTGGAGAATGGGGCGGTGAACAATAGTTCAGGGGCGGCAATATCTACCCCAGAGGAAGATCCGGTGGTGAAGAGGAGAAGGCGGGAGGGAGAGACTATGGTTGAAGACTTGGATGTGACAACTCAAGTGGCCTCCATTGAGGAGGACCGCCGAGCCCAATGAGGACCCTTTGCTGAAACTGCCGCGGAATTGGCAATCCCGCGACGGTTCGTGAGCTCCGCGATCTCGTGGAGGCGTGTGCGCCGATGGTACTCTGTATTGTTGAAACACAAATTGCAAAGTACCGAGTGGAAGGCTTGGATGGTAGTTTAGGGTTTACTGGTAGTTTTGGTGTTGCGAGTAGCGGACGTAGTGGAGGTTTATGCATGTACTAGAAGGATGATGTTGATCTTGAAATAAAGAGCTTTTCTCATTATCATATAGATTCAGTTGTGAAAGAACCGGGTAAAGATATGTGGCACCTATCATGCTTCTACGGTGTAGCGAACAAAATACTGGCATCTTCCTCCTCGGCACTCCGGTGCAGGTGGCCACAACTGCTCCACGCCATTCTTCGAAGAACGATGGCATGCTCGGCTGCATGCATCCAGCGCCTGCCCATTCCGACTCGGGAGGTGTTAGGGTTGTCGGCGTGGTCATAATACCTTGCGTGCGTGGAAAGACAAGCCGAGCATGCAGATGATTCTCATTCTCACATCTTAAAAATCAAAAATATATTTCTGAATTACTCCGAAGACTTTACAGATGATGCCCTCGCAACCCTGCTAGTTTAGTTTAGTTTCAAAAATAAGAAAAGAGATTCGTACATCATTTTCCAGACTGCCACATATATATATCTACAGG